AAATACTTAATTTCTTTATTTTTTTAATTAGTTTTTATAAAACTATTATTACTTTATATATAATAATTATATATTAATTTATATTTAAAATCTCGAAGATATAATTTAGTAAATAAAAACTAAAATATCTTTTTATATATTATTAAAAGTTATCTTTTTTTATAATTAACTTAAAATTAAAAAATATAAATATTTATTACTTTATATTTAAAAGATTCTTTTTTTTAATAATATCTAATAATATTAAACAGAAAAAAATATTAAATTAATAAAGTATAATTAAAGTAAAAATATATATTATTTCTTTTTATTTTTAAAAAAGAAAAAAGAATTAAATATTAAGAAAAAAATGCCTTAAAGTTAAAAAAAGTATATTTTTAAAGATTTCTTAGTTTCTTTATTATAATATTTATATAATAAAAGACAAATTAATAATATATTAAAAAAAACTTAATTTTTTAATTTTTTTATTTTAAATTAAATATTTAAATTATTAAAAGTTTAATACTTTTAGATTTTTTACTTTAACTTTAATAATTTAAAAATATTTAAGAATTTTAGTTTTCTTTATTATTAATAAAAGATTTTTTTTCTTTAAATATTTTTATTAATATTAAATTATATAATAAACTTAATAAAAGTATTTTTAAAAAAAAAAATTTAATTTATAATTATAAAAAATTAGTTTAATATATTTTATTAAATAATTAATAAAAAAAGCTCGAATTATTCTTAATACTTTAGTTATATAATTAATTAATTATAATTATTATTTTAATTTTATTAAGACTTAATAAAAAACTTATTTATTATATTTTAATTAATTTAATTAACGCAATTAATTCTTTAACATATTAATAATAAATAAAGAAAATATAATATTTTAATACTTTTATAATTATTATATTTATTAATTATTATAAGATTTATATAATTATAATATTCTATTAAAAAAACTAAAAGATTTATATAAACTTTAATAAAATAAAATAATATTAATATTAATCTTTAAATTATATTAATAAAAGATTAATTAATAATAATAATAATATATTAAATAACTTTAAAGATTTATATAAATTCTAATAAAATAAAATTATATTAATATTAATAAGAAATTAATTAACTAAAGAAAAAGAAACTTATAATAATAATATTATATTAAACAACTTTAGTAAATTTATATAAATCTTATTAAAATAAATATAAATATTAATATATAAATAATATTAATAAAAGAATAAAGGATTAATTAAAGGTTTATTTAAAAGTATTATAAAGTTTTTTATATTTATAATATAATACTTAAAGAAATTAAATAATAGGTTTAATATATAAAAATATAATATTTATTTAATTTAAAAAAAAGCCGAATTATATATTATATATATTATAAAGTAACTAGTATATAATAAAGTTTATTTAGTAAATAAAACGAAATAAAGCCTTATTAATCTTATATAAATACTATTATAAAATCGCTTTATTATTATAATAATAACTTTTATAAAATCTTTTATATTTATTATATTTTATAATATATTAAAGGAATTCTTTTAATAAAAGTATTTTCTTAATATAGTTTATTAATAAGTTATATATATTACTAGGTTATATACTTTTTTATTACTTTATTACTTTAAAATATAATAATTTAGTTATAATATATTAAATTAATTAAAACTACTTAGAATTTAATAAATTAAATATATTTATATTCTCTTAATAAGTTTATATATTATAATTAGTTTTTTTTATAATTCCTATAATATTATATATTTAATTATTTCTTATTTTAATAAACTTCTTTAAAGTACTTATTATATTAAATTTATTTATTTATTTTTTCTTAGATTAGAATATTATATATATCTTTTATAATAAGTATATTCTTTTAATAAATATAATTCTTTTTAGTTTTATAATACTTAGAAAGTACTTTATTTATTACTTAAAGTATATATATCTTAGTTATTAAAAGAGTTATTTTATAAGCTAATTACTTTATACTTTTTATTAATATAATAATTATAATAAAAATAAATATTAGTAAGCTTTTTTAATAATAGGTAATATAATTTTAAACTAGAGTTATTTATAAAAGAATATTAATTAGATTATATAATATTTAAGAGATTTAAGAATTAATATTAATAAAGAGAAAACTAGTTAATATTAAAGTCTATAACTTAATATTAAGCTTTAAGATTATTACTTAAGAATTAAAAGAAATTAGACTAATTTTATAAAATCTAGCTTAAGTATTTTAAATTATAATTAATTATAAATATATTATTTTAAAGACTATAAGAAACTCGACCTTAATAATATAATAAATATAGGCTTTTATAAAGCCTTTAATTTACTAGTTATATATTTACTTTAATATATTAAAATATTTAATATTAAGTAGCTAAGTTAAATAAAAGAAATAAATAAGTAATTTAAAAGTTATAATATTATAAGCTTTATAATAGTCTTAAAATTTAATTAATTTATAATTTTTATACTTATTTAAAACTAGTATTTAATATAAGCTCTTTATATAAAAAGTAGTATATTTATTAAAGTATTTTAGTTATTTTAAACTTATCTTATTATTTATTTACTTATTATTTATAGGTTTAATAACTAAATTATATAAAAGATTAGTTTTAAAGTATTAGTTTATAAAGTAATTAATACTTTAAATAACTAAAAATAAAGAAATATCTTAATTTTTATTATTAATATAAATAATAGCTATTATTTATTTCTAATTACCTAGTTATATTCCCTTAACTTTATTATATTAGTAAAAAATATAAAGATTTTAGCTTATAAAATAATTCTTATATTTACTAAGCTATATATATTTTAAGTAGTAAATTAAGTACTTTCTAAGTATTAAAAGACTAAAAAGAATTATATTTATTAAGAAAGTATACTTATTATAAAAAATATATATAATATTTTAGCCTAAAAAAAGTAAATAAATAAATTTAATATAATAAATACTTTAAAGAAGATTATTAAAATAAGAAGTAATTAAGTATATAATATTATAAAAACTATAAAAAGACTAGTTATAATATATAAATCTATTAAAAGAATATAAATATATTTAGTTTATTAGATTTTAAGTAGTTTTAATTAATTTAATATATTATAATTAAATAATTATAGTTTAAAGTAATAGAATAATAAAAAAGTATATAATTTAATAATATACGTAATTTATTAATAAACTATATTAGTTATTTAAAGTAAATATTAGTTTAATTAAAGTATACTTTAAAAATTAAAAGTTATTATTTATAATTAATTAAGTATTTAAAAGATAGTTTATATAAAAGTTATATTTATAAAAAAAAAGTATTAAAAGAATATATAATATTAAAAATATAAATATTTACTAATAAACTATTCTTTTTATTTATTTTATTTATTAATTAATATTTATTTTATTTTATAAGTATATATTAATCTTTTCTTTTATTAGTTTAAATTAAGTATAAGACTTTAAAAACTTAATAAAAGAATTTTTTAAACTCGAATTAGCTTTAAAGCTTTATATTATATAATTAAAAGACTTATCTTTAGTTAAGTAACTTTTTTTATTATTAAAATATATTTATTTATATATATTTATTTTTCTTTAATTATAAAATATATTAATTTATTTTAATCCTATATAATACTTTATTAAATAAAAATATTAAGGTATTATATTTTATTTATTTATTATAATTTCCTTTTTAAGAAAAAAAAAAACTTAAAGTATTATATATAAATTCTTAATAAGATTAATATAATAGCGCGGCCGATTATATACTAGTAAAAGATATATAAGAGTATATAACTAGACTAAAAGAATTAAATCTATAGGCCTAATACTAAGAAAATAAAGAATATAAAAAAGAAAAAGAAAAAGAAATATAAATAAGAGCTAAAATACTTATATAATAATCCTTAAAACTAAATCCTTTTAAAAGAGTCCTCTTAAGTATTATATATATAATCTTATTATTATAATTAAAACCTTTAAAAGTATATATAAATTAGGTTATTTAAAAGAATTAAAAAGAATTCGAAAGTAGTTTAAATAAAGTATTTTTAAATTATGAATTTTTAATTAAAAAAAAGAACTTAACTTAATTTTAATAAAAACCTTTAATAAATATAATAAAGAAATAAAAATAACTACTATTATATTATAAGTAATAGAATTTATAAAATTTTATATATAAATATTATAAAAACTATAAATAATTCTTAAGGGAATTAAAAAAGAATCTTTTTAAGTAAAATTTAATTAATTTATTAATATATTTAAAGCTTAAGGCTCGGTTTAGGTTAAAGTAATAACTACTTAGGTCTTAAAATAAAAGCGAAGTTTAATAGGTTTAATTATTATTTAAGACTTTAAAAAAAGTCTTAAATAATAATTTTTCTACTTTACTTTTAATATAATTAGTTAACGTCGCCGCTTTACTTAGGCTTTACTTACCCTTGCTTTACCTCGACTTAAGTTACTTAGTTAAGTTCCTGTTCTTCCTTTTAGTGACTAATTATAATTTATTTACTATTCGGCTCTATTATATAAGAGTTATTAACTCTATACGACCATGTTTAGGGGGACCAAGTCGGCTCCCAGGTAACCTAAACAGGAACCCCCGACCCCTCAAAAAATATGCCGTTTACCCTCAAGGCAGATTCTTCTCACAGCATAGCTTTGGCTCTAGCTCTTCCTAAGGAGTATGTGTCCTCGCGCCTCCTCCCAAATTTGTGCTCTTTCGTTCTTTCTTCTACCAAGCTATACTTCTCGATCAGCTACTCAGAATTTGCTTGCACTGGGAGAGCTTTATGACTGAATAATCCCTCGTATAAGGAAATACCGTGGCCCCTTTCAAACTTACTCCTATTTCGGCGTCTCCGAAATAAGATCACGTGACAATGCATAAGCCTCGGTTGTTTTTGAAAACCCTTTCTTGGAAGAGGGATATAAAAGTCCAGATTCCCAGGGTTCTAGAATTTCGGTGTCTCGATTCACATTAAACTGAAACTTAGAGCACAACCCAAAAGTCTTCAAAACTACTTCTTATTGGTCAGCCTCACCACCACTATCACCCCCACCGGTACCGCCGCCAACATCATCACCACCACGATGGCACTCCTCCCCTCCCTCGCAGTAACCTTAGTAGGCCTCCTCCACGTCTACATCCTCGTCCTGGAGATGTTCCTCTGGACCACTCCGCGCGGCCGCAAAGCCTTCGGCCTCACCGCCGACTTCGCCAGCAAGACCAAAGCCCTTGCTGCCAACCAGGGTCTGTATAATGGCTTCCTGTCCGCGGGGCTCATGTGGGGGCTCTTGCACCCTGTTCCGGAATTCGGGAAGCAGATTGAGTTGTTCTTCTTGACGTTGGTTGTTGTGGCGGGGGTTTTCGGCGGGGCGACGGCGAAGCCGAAGATTTTTTTTATTCAGAGCGTGCCGGCTGGTATTGCTATTTCAGCGGTGTATTTTGGGTAGATGGATTTATGGGAGCAAGACTTGGTGGTATGGATGAGTAGAGATTGAAGAGGTGGTTGTAAGACTAAATCTTTAGATTAAGAATAAGTATGTAGGAGGGCAATAACGGGTTGTATCCATTGGCATGTTTCGAGCCAGGTCTTGAACTTGAAGATAAAGAATATAGATATTGGCGTACGAAAATTGCAATGAGTTCGAGGGCATTCGTGAGTTACTAGAAGAACCAGCGATATTCAGAAGTTGGTTACTCCACTCCAATCCCTTCCTCCATGACAGCATCTTTTTCTCTCATTTCAGATTCACGAGGCGAGTGCACGGTAAGGTATCAATCAAAAGCACGAACTCAGTCCTCAGCATAATTATAGTTGAATTCCCTCTCTGCAAGTCTATGAAATCCAAATCAACAACGAGCATGCCTTCCGCCCTAATCCCAACCCGTCTATATGAAGAGAAAATACACGTACGCCCTACTTAAAACTCCTGGAAACTCTTAAGCCAATTAGGGCTCTTGCTTAAATTTTTTAATATGCGGACTAAATTTTTCCCTCGAAATACGGGTCTGATATACTAAGATAATACTCCTGGCTAAATAGCCCACTAGGGCACGTGGACTATAGAGATAACCTAAATCGGCTTGGTGAGGACTCTTGATAAAATATGACAGGGGAGCAAGAACGGACATGGTTTTAACAGACTTCGAGAGGTGGCTATGTTATAAATAACTAGGGTCTATATGACTCCAGATATAAATAACATGGAAACTATAGCCGATTTACGGGGACCGGAAAAGGACCCCCGGAGCAAAATCCAGCTGACTTATTGACGTGCTCAGGACTCAGGGCTCGGCTCAGGTTAGAGCGGCAACTGCTCAGGTCCAAAGATGGAAATGGGCTTTGGTGAGGTCACTTGCCGTTTGAGACTTTAGAGGAAGTTGAGGGCATGCCGCTTGCCCATTCTTCCTAGGCCTGCGCAGGCCACGAGAAGTTTGGGAGGTGCCATTTTGGTTAAGATTTGAAGTCAAAAGAGTGATGAGGTGGGTAAGGGAAGGGTTGGGACACTCTAATGGGAGTATATGTGCTTCAAGCGTATAAAAAAGGCTGTTGCTTAGCTTGCCTCTCACTTGAGGGCTGCACGAGACACTTGTATGGTGGTAACAGCCAGGAAGAGCTCAAGCTTTCCCTATTCTCAGCTCCATTCTCCGTATTTCATCCCGAATGTCCCAAGACGAGTGTATGCCACTTACTGAGCTGCACCTCGTGTTCAGCGGGGTTATGAAGCTGTGCGGGAGCTTTAACTCGGTTATACCAATATGGAAGGTTTGCCAGCGGATTGTCGATCACCAATGGATACCAACGAACGGACCAAGCACATGTGAAGTGCTCGCAGTTGGACGTTGAACGAGGGCGGCTAACAATAAAGGGGTTGTTAATAACCGTGATGGGATCATGCGAGGCTAGGTGGACATATAACCGACCGCAACCCTAGATACGAGGACAGCGTACTCTTGAGTAAGCGAGTCGGAGTGTATTGCCTTTCCTATAAAATCTGTCAACCCTTTCCGGCTCGCGTCTAAGAGATCTGCATTTTTCCACGTTATTGCCCCGTTTTCATCCTATTACATTCAAATTCCTAGGTATGCTGGTGAATGTAGGCACCACATTTAGCTTGATAGCTGCATTGCATATGTGACCTCATTAAGTTACGTTTCCGCGTCCTAGCCCCACGCCTTCCTAAGATGTATCTGCGCCGCCCCGGTTGGCCATTTATGCTCCTGTTCCGTTGTTATCAAAACATTGCCTCTTGCTCCACATGATCCGTGAAGCGATCCCCGCACATGGTGACACCCATGCACGCTGTAAATATTGCTGGGATCATCCTCCGGTTTGAAATTGCTATACCGCACAGTTCTCTTATTTGGCTTTTGATTACTTCCTGCATTCGGTTAGTTTCAAAGATACTTTTCGGGGAACAGGCAAGGGGTTCTTACTTCCATCTGCTGAATAGCAGTTTTGTGACTGGGACCTATGCGGGGAAGTGTGGGGTTATAGCACATCAATAGCACACGTCCGATTATTGCATGCGCGACTCCAATTACTGTTTCTCTATTAGAAGCTTGTTTTGAAAGTCCTGAATTAAAGAGAGAAGAAAACCCACCAACAGCATAATTAAAGTACTAAATCTCTGGAAACACATCTCTAGTACCCCTCTTCTATTTATATAATATAAATTATTATATATATATAATTAAGTAAGAAAAATATTATATAATTAATATAATATCTTTAACTAGAAATATAATATTAAATACTAAAACTTATAGAAATTAGATATATTATTCTTTCTTAGTTATAATAAGTATTAGAATAATAATTATAAACTTTAATAATAATTTTAGACTAGTTATATTTTATATATATTTTATTAAAGATAATAAGACTTTATTTTTAGTTAAATTCCTCTCTTAAAAATTAGTATTATTAAAGGTCTTAGAATTATTAGAATAATTAGAATTAAACTCTTCTAAAATAAATATATTATTCTTATAAATAAACTTCTTAAAGTAATTACTAGTATAAATATTCTTAAGAAATATATTATTTATTTCTTATAATATATATATATATTTAACTAAATCTATAGTAATTATATAATATAATCTAAGCTATTTAAATATTAGCTTAATATTAAAGGATTTATTAATAATATACTTTAAGTAATAAATCAGAACTATATTTTCTTTTCTAATTATAGTCTAGTAGAAATAATATATATTATTAAATATTACTTTATCTTTCTCTTAAATATACTTCTTATATAATATTATTTCTTTTATATTATTATTTTATATTTATAATTATTTTACTTAGAGTATAAAAAGCTATTCTCTAGTATATATATTATTCTAGTTTAAAAGCCTCTAAATAAAATAATAAGTTTTAAAAAATAAAATAGCTTCTTTTTTATATATTAAGAAAAAGAATATAATACTAATTAGTTAATAAATTAATATATATTTTACTAGAAGTATAATATAAAGATTTCTTCTCTATTTCTTTTAGTTTTTTCCTATTTATAAAAGAGTTTCTATTATTAATTAATATCTTTTCTTAATAGCTCTAGTAATCTTTAAGTTATATATTAAGATTTAAATATATTTAATATTATACTTCTTTATAAATATAATAATAATACTATAGTTTTTAGATCTTCTATTAATAATAAGCTTCCTAAAAATACTATATTTATATATTACTTCTTTTTAAAGAAAATCTATAATCTTTTCTATAATTATATATATAAGAACTCTTACTTTAAACTAATTAGAAAAGTCTTCTTAAATAATAACTAAGACTTTCTTACTTTTATTTATTAATATATAGGTAATATCTAGTCTAATCTTCTCCTAAAGACTAGATTATTATATTAGATAAAAGATTTTCTTATAATAAGTATTATTTTATTTTTAATAAATAATATAATTCTATATATACTTTTAATAATTAATATAATAATCTTCTTAATAGAATTAGATTATAATATAATAATAAGTATTCTTTCTTCTTTTATAGCCTAGGTCTTTAAAATATTTATAAATAACTTTATACTTAGTTTTAAGAGAATTAATTACTAGATATATTAATATATCTCTTTTACTTTTTCTATATAGTTTACTATTATTATATATATATAGAAAAGCCTTATTTTTAAATTAATAAAACTACTTAATACTTATATTTATAGACTATTATAATATTTATAAGAAATAAGTAATTTTCTAGGATTCTACTAAATATTTATTTCTAAGAAAGTCTTCTTAAGCCTAGCTTAAGAAGAATTTTTTCTTTATAAAGTATTTCTTCTTAAGTCTTAGTATTATTTAAATTAGTAATATTAAAAGTATATTTAATTAAGTTATAATCTATTTATTAATATTTTTAGTATAAGTATTATTAATATTATTTAACTTAGTTTATTAATATCTTAATAAACTATTTATAATAGAATTCTTCTTTCTCGGAATATATTTAACTTTAAAATTAAATATTCTTATTTATATAATCTATTATATTAAAAGAAATCCGGGTAAATTAAAAGTAATTCTATTAAGCTAAGTAATTAGTACTATAGTATTAGTCTTAAGAATAAAGTAAATACTAATAAAATATAAATATATTTTTTTTATTTCTATAAGAATTCCTTAATACTCTTACTTTCCTATATTATAGTTTTATTTAGTATTATTTTATATCCTATTCTTAAATTAAATTAGATACTTCTTTTTCTTTTCTTTATTTTATTAAAGTATTATATCCTAGTTAATTAGACTTATATTTATTATTAAAATAATTATTCCTATATTTTTATTATATTAAATCTAAGCTAAGATAAGAACTATAATTAATACTTCCTTAAGATTATTTATTACTACTTTCTATTTATTTTCCTAATTAAAGAAAATATTCTTTCTAAAGAATTAAGAGATTAATTTAGTATATCTATTATAATCCTAGATTTAGATATAATAAAATCTAATAATTCTAAGAAAACTATAAACTTTAGTCTTATTCTTATAATTAAATTATTTAAGGATCTTAATAACTTTAGTAATATTAGATTATCTTTTATTTATATTTATTATAAATTTAATTATATTCAATCCTAATATATATTACTTAAATCTAGGTCTAATTATTACTTTAATATACTTTATTCTTTTTAAAATAATATTTAGGTTTCTAATATACTTAAGTATAAACTAATATATTCTAGATATAATTTCCTTAAAATTATAATATAATAAAGATTCTTTAATACTAATATTATCTATATATAATTTATATTTATTAGAAATAATATATATAAACTAAGTTATAGAATTAGTTATATTTTAGGAAAGTCTAGTTATTTAAAGGAGACTTATTAGAGTCTAAATAATTATTATATTCTAAGACTTTAAAGCTAAAAGAATTTAATTATATCTAGAGAAAAAGTTAAGAAATAAAGTAATAATATATTCTATAAATTTCTTTAAGAATTCCTTTATATTTAGAGGTATATTATTATTATATATTATAATCTTATTTATATTTTATATAATAATAATTAGTTTATATATATCTTTCTTTTTCTTTATTACTAGAAATTATAAGTTATAATAAGAATCTTAGGAATATTCTATTATTCTATATTTAAGTTTATTCTTAAGTATTTTAATAACTTTAG